CCTATGATAATTGTGAAACAATGTGGATAAAATAAATATACAAGCCTAAGATTTAATCTTTTTTTCATACCAATCACACACCTACTGGTAAACTTTAGTTGAACAAGAATGCATTGCTGCCAATCATTAATTGTTTCAACCACAAAAATGTTAAAGTCACGCTAGAAAATAAGGATAGGTGAAAAATATATGATCCTTATACCAGTTTTATGTCTTCACTGAAACATTGAATAGTTAAATATTTTCTTAAAGTGCTTGTCTTATTAGTTTCTCTCTCATGTTTCAACTAACAAAGGACTTAGCTTTTTTCTCTTGTTAAATTTTTCTCACTTTTTAATACACTATTTTATTTTGGTAATAGAAGATAATTATATAAATTAACAAGCTTTCTTGTTTATCTTTATAAAACTTTTGGTAATAATTATGTAATATTTCAATACTTTAAAAAAAGGTGTATGATAGAATTTTCTTGTCTATCTAGGCCATGGATGTTTACTCTGAAGAGAATATACTTGTGGGAATCCTCAGTAGGTTGCCTGTGCGGTCTCTTCTTCGATTCAAATGTGTTTCAAAATTTTGGGGTACACTGATCGATGAGCCATATTTTAAGATGAAGAATCTCACTCACGCCAAGAAGGACAAAACTTTCCAAAAATTTCTGTTCTACAAATTGCGCCCTAAGAAGTCTATATTTTCCATTTATAGTTGTTCGGTATCATCGGTGCAATTGGTAGAGGATATACGGGAACTGAATTGCCCTTTAAATATTGAACCACGACATTGCATAGTCTACTGTTGTTGTGACGGATTGGTTATTATCAAGGTTTATGAAAATAGTGTTGAACGCCAAATACTTTTGCTATGGAATCCCTCCACTGGAGAATCAATTGTACTTCCCAATCCAGAATTTCCAATGGAGGAATTTTCATGTTTGGGAATGTGTTTTGATTCGACCAGTAATGATTATAAGATACTTAAAATTCCCAATGGTGTAAGTGATCACAACAGAGTACCTGGTGAAGTTCTCGCACTGAAAAGTGGTTCTTGGAGAAAAATTGTTGAACATCCTCGTGACATTTGTTGTATGGTTCATGGTATGCATTCATTGGCATTTATACATGGTTCATTTCATTGGGTTGGTAATTCAAAAAGATATTTTGTGGTTTCATTTGATATTTCCCATGAAGTGTATGGAGAAATATCATTACCAGAGCAAATAAGCTTGATCAGCATTAATATTGGCATTTCAATATTGGATGGAATGTTGTGTGCTTACACTAATGCGTATATTCAGGGGAATCGCACTTTTACGTTATGGGTGATGAATGATTATGGTCTTAAGGAATCTTGGCATAGAATATTTTCTATAGCAGATCCTGATATATGTATAGCTGCACCAAAATATAGATTTGCAGATGGTGAAGTGTTATTCTGGTGCTTACATTGTGAATCTGGGGAAAACGCATATAGAACAGAGAGAGGTCCCTTTACATTGTTGCCTCATGGCATCCTTCAGAATGGATTTGCTTTTACAGAAAGTTTAGTCTCTCCAAGATTACTTACTTAGTATTTGCTTATGTTTGGTTGAAATACTTTGTCCTTTTTTTTCTGTCAAGTTATTGTCTCTTATTTTATTTGTTAACCTATTGATCACAAACTTTTCTATTGCAAGAAATATTTACCGAAGCTTTGTTTATTTAATTCAACTTATATTTGTCAAAGCTTTATTTATTTATTTATTTATTGTTGCAAGGCAAAGAACATGAGCCATTTATTTTCTAAGAAAGAAGTGGTTAAATAAATTAATATCAGCTAGTAGGGAGTATGTTTTAATCATGTAGTAAGTTTACTTTAGTGTTAAATTTTTATAGGAATTTTTGGACAGTATCGACAGAAAATATTTAATATTATTCTTACTATTGTGTACACACATAAACAGATTCCTCTCTAGCTATACTTTTTTATTTAAAAAATCTCTTTTCATTAATATATCAAGTATAAATTAAAGTTAGAAAAAGTAATGAAATAGTATCATATGGTTTATATGAGTTAAGAAAATTCTAAATGTAGTTGCTCAATTACAATTATCATGGTCAATCATAAGAGATGATACAAATTTGACTTTATATGAGACCTCATGGAAATATCTTTATTTCTAGTTTTGGGTCACATGCATTGCACGTGAATTCCATGCTAATTAACGAAGTTTTGAGATAATATAAATGACATTAGAATGTCTATTATAAATACATGAAATTTGAGGAAAATATGTTAGTACAAAGTGATAAATACATTGCTCTTAAATACTTTTACGAGTTAGCATTAGCACTTTATGGAAATATTATTTTAAAATAGTTTATTAATAATTGCTATCTTCGAGACTAAAATAAGCTTTCGTGCTCGACAAAATTCATCTTTGTCCAATGTATATTGAGAAGCCGTGCCCTTCCATACTCAAATTCACGACTGGCCCAACTTGATGAAATCAACATTGAATTGGTATGAACTTTTAATATAATAATACTAAAGAGTCTATTTGTAGGTTCTTATAACTTATGATGTCACACCCAAAATCCAGAGGGGCCCGGCCGGCACCTAGATCGTCACTTGAGCGAACAACTCGAAAGAAACTAGTCAAGTAACACCACCAACAACAAGTCAAGTCCGACAAGGCCTGAACAACACACAACCTTCACAATATAAATACAAAGAGTAACAGAGCAAATCGACAAAGTCTTTTTAAATATCAAGCTGCATGAAAGCCAGCAAGACATCTATCTATATCTACATCTATCTATCTATATCTATATCTATATCTATATCTATCTATACTACCTTAAAAGCATGAAAGGGATGCAAACATGATACCAAGATCATTTCTGTCAGCTGGACAAGACCCCCTTCCTGCACATTCAAACTTAACACTGATGGGAGCGCTTTAAATAATCCCAGCAAGATTGGTGGGGGAGGAATCCTAAGGGATGACAAGGGGGAAATGATTTATGCATTCACTATCTCCTTAGGCATTGACACTAACAACCAAGCAGAAGCACAAGCTGCCAGCCATGGAATCCAATGGTGTATCCAGCATGATTTCAGAAACGTTGTCTTGGAAGTGCACTCAGAGTTGCTCATCAAATGGATTACTTCCAATGTCAACTATTATATCAAGGAGCTTCAAACCTTAATCAGTCAGCTGGATTACTTCCAATGTCAACACACTTTCAGAGAAGCAAATTGCACTGCCAACTACCTATCTAAGTGGAGCCATAACTTTGATATCACTCAGCATTACTACACATTTATTCAACTTCCTGTAGCAGCAAAGGGAAGTTTTTTACTGGAAAAAATGGGAGTTGTAAACTTCATAAGGAAAAGGTTGAAAAGGATCAAGCATCCTCCTTGAATTGTGTTCCTTGTTGTTTAGTTTATAGTTATCTGTTTTTCTTACTTTGTTCTTTATCCTATTCAACCTAGCTATTTCTTTCGATATAGCTCGTCTGAATAGGATTAGGTTTTTGTTTCTCTTCTTACCTTGTAAGGGGAGAGTCTCCCTTATTACGATTCCTAGAAACTTGTATCGAGAGGAGTCCTCTCAATAGGTGCATTTTTTTGGTTTCTCCTTTTAGTAATGGAATAAGTTGATCATCCTTAGTAGGAAGATTGACTCATGAACCATCTTAGGTAGGAGGTAAGGTTTATGTCCCCCTCCTTGTATTTTGCTTTTTATTTTGAATGCTAAGGCCAGGGGGTGTTTCTCAGCCCTGATCCCCCCAAGGGTCTTTAAAATAAAATAAAATATGAATGTTAAATTATTATAATACCCCTAACTTAAATAAAGCTCTAACTAACACACCTCGCGCTACAAACTTTTAGGGGAATAGTTACAAAGTCCTACTCGAAGAGTTCTCACTTCAATATCTCACATTGTTGATAAGCACCAATGTTAAAACAATCAAACGCTCACAGTCTTCCCCAAGTGATGCAACTTCTCTGTTCTCTATCTATAACACAGCCAAACGTTGCTTGTTGTTTCCCATCAAACTTCCAACTTCTGCATAAAAACGAACATGTATGCCCTGTTACATTAGCTTAGCCAAAGGTACACTCTAAGTAAATCAAACCTTCTTCTACACTATTTTTTGTTTTCCCTTTATGCCTAGATTTTTTTTGTAAGAAGTACAGAAGGAGAATACTGTTTTTAGAGAATGCTCAAGTTTTATATAGGCTACTTAAGGCCACTTGAGATAATTAGAATAATCTATTACATCTCTATTTATACTAATAAAATATAAAACTAAACGTCTTCCACAAATAGCTAGATACATGTATCATAATTAATTAGATACATGTATTACAAACTCCTAAAAGACTTCTTGAAAAACTAAGAGACAATATTGAAAGACTAAGAATCAAGGTGTGAATGCATTAATTCCAACACTCCCCCTTAACATTTGCTTGACAAATCCAATGCCTTCTCGAAGATACCAAAACTTTTCTCTTGGAAGTGCTTTGGTGAAGATGTCAACAAGTTGTTCTCCTGTCTGACAATAATTGTAACTGAATTTCGCCTTTCTCTTGTGCTTTTGAATATCTCCTTCTTGATTGAGTTTGGTTTTGTGAATCCACTTTAGACTTACAACTTCTCTTTCTTTGGGTACACTCACACACTCCCAAGTATTATTTTTCTCAATCATCCGAATTTTTTTTGCCAAGGCTTTCTTCCAAATATCATGTTTTATTGCCTCCTCATAATTTTCTTCTCAACACTGGCAAAGTTGCATCATTGATAAATGTCACTCCACATTTTTGTTCCTCTTGGAGGTGGTTCTTCATCATCTGAATATGAGATTTTTCCTCCTTGAGGGACATCTTCCTCTTCCTCATCCTTTTCTTGATTTGACACATCTAAAGATATGATAGAAGTATTCTCTACCTTATTCTTAGTATGTATTTCAGGAAAACCTTGCACCATGTCTTTTTGCTTGAGAAGCTTCAAATCATGAAAATTCAAGTGACAAAATCTTTTTGTTCCAAAGCCATGAACCATCTACAACTTCATTTTTGAATGCATTGTACTGAAATTGTAAAGGAAATTTTCTTTTTGTCATCTCTACTTCAACAATGACTTGATTTGGCTCAAATTTATCATAAATCTTGCAATAATTATCTCTAAACACAAAAGAATAACCATTTTCCATGAATTGACCAACACTAAGCAAATTTTCTTCCAAGTCAAGAACATAAAGCACATTATGAATTTGCTTACCGCTCCCTTTTATGTTGATCGAAATGGTACCTTTACTTTTTGCATCAACTAAGACTCCATTCCCCATTCTCACTTTAGTAGTAATGCTACTATTAATTGAGAGGACAACTTTTTCATCCCCAGTCATGTGATTGCTACAACCACTATCAATATACCATTCTTTGCTTTTTGCTGAAACATCACATTGAGAAGCAAAGAAAAGATTTTCTTTCATTTCTTCCTCATGTTCTTCGCAAAAATTTGCTTGCTCCTGTTGCTTGTGCCATCAATCATTCTCAATGTGGCCAATTTTTTTACAAAAGTTACATTGTGGCTTGCCTTTGTGCCAACATTTTTTTGCATTGTGATTAGTCCTTTTGCAAATTTTACAAAAAAGACTAGTACTTTTCTCACCTTTTTCTTCATCCTTCTTAGAAGAATCAGCATGATCCTGCTTTTTTTTGGATTGTTATTCTTCTTTTGTTGATTTTTTGAGAAATTTTGAGAATTCTCATTTGTTCTGGACTGGAAAGCCGTTTCTTTGGGTTGATCTTCACGAAAAAACCTTCGCTTCTCGTGTGCACGAAATGATCCAACTAGCTCTTTGATAGAAAGCTTAGAAAGATCTTTCGTCTCCTCAGTGATAGCAACAATGTACTCATACTTTTATGTGACACTAATTAAAATCTTTTCCACAACTTGTTGGTCAGAAATTGTATCACCATGATTTCTCATTTCATTAAGAATATTCATGACTCTTGTGCAATATTTATCTATTTTTTCAGATTCTATCATCTTCAAGTTTTGAAACTCTCTTCTAAGAGTTTAAAGATTTATAGTGCGCACCTTTTCATCACCGTACACCTTTGTTTCTAGAGACTCCCAAGCTTCCTTTGCAGTCTCACAAGTAGCAATTTTTGCAAAATATGATCTTGAGACTCCCATTTGGAATTTTCTCAAGACTTTTGCATCTTGACGATACTTAGCCTCAAGATTTTTCATCTATGCTGTTGTAAGTTCACCATCGTTTTCTGGCTCTTCAAATCCATTTGCAACAATAGTCCACAAACCTTCAGCTTTTAAATATGTTCTCATTCTTATCTTCCAGTATTCAAAATCGGTTTCATAAAAAAATAGAGTAAGAACTGAAGAATCAGCACCTTCATTTGTTTTGGATACCATATTTTTTTCTTCACCTAACCCCAAATTAAGAATGAAAACCTGCTCTGATACCAATTTGTAGGAAATATAAAAGGAGAATACTATTTTTAGAGAATGCTCAAGTTTTATATAGGCTACTTAAGGTCACTTGAGATAATTAGAATCATCTATTACATCTCTATTTATACTAATAGAATATAAAACTAAAGGTCTTCCACAAATAACTAGATACATGTATCATAATTAATTAGATACATGTATTACAAACTCCTAAAAGACTTCTTGAAAAACTAAAAGACAATATTGAAAGACTAAGAATAAAGGTGTGAATGCATTAATTCCAACATTTTTAAAGTTAGCAGTGTTCCTTCTCCAACAAAACACAATTTAAGATTGGATTAGGCTTTCATGTCACTGCTCGCCAACATTAACATGTTGTAAGTTTCTACCTAATTACTTTTTGCTCATGTTTATGTACTTCATATGTTCACTCACCTATATTACAATTGATAAAGATTGGGTCAAAGAACTTCCTTTGTAATATGGATGTTATTGATGTGTGTGACTTCTTGCCTTATCATGGTTTCAACATATCTTTGAGAAGATCTTATGTTTCCTGTAGCATGAAAATCCCGTGCATCTGCCAGTTCTCTTGACATATTAGAAGCTAAGCTTGGAATTTCTATCAAGGGGTAATATTTGGTTATATGCCTTTAGGATATGAGGTTAAAGCCTTTCTTTCTCTAGTTTACTTTATACTAGTTGTTTCCAATTATTATGATTTTTCTTCCTGCAAACATTTGCAATTCAAAACTGCTTGAGATGATGGTCTCCGGGAGACATCATATTAATGTCTGATTGGTAAGCTTCAAGACTACAAGTTAAGAGAACCCCATTACATGGAAATTTCCTGCATAAAAGATGGTATGGTTTCCTACGATGGTGGAATGATGAGGAAATAGAGTTGTATCTGTATAGATCTGTTGAATCTGACCTAAACCAAAGACTTTATTTTTATGGAACATACTTTTTGAAGAAACATAGAGTAGTATGCTATACAAAATCAAGAGCTACTGCCGTCCAAGTAAATGTATAATCATGGTGTATATGTTACAAAGAAAAGGAAGAAGAACTTCAAGTCTACAAGGTGTAAAAAGAAGGAACACACAACTATAAATTGCTACAGAAATCTGAATGTGAGGAAGAGGACTGAAGTTTCTTGAGTTCTATTTGATTCTATAGATGTTTCATTACATATGGTCTATTTATAGATAAAGTGTGAGAATTACAACCAAATAATAAGCAAAATATCTCACACCAAATTATGTACATATGTGGCTCACTAACCACCACTCATTTTAAATCTATCTAGGAGTTTCTAGAAAAATCTTAATTTTCTAACATATACTACAAAATATCTCAAATCTAGGAGTTTCTAGACAAATCTTAATTTTCTAACACTTCTCCTTAAGATTTTTCATTGAAACTCCTTGCAACAACCTTTGAAACTCAAACTTCTTAGTGGAAAGAGCCTTGGTTAGAATATCAACATGTTGATCTTCACTGATGTAATTCACCAACTTAACTTCACCATTCTTCTCAGCATCTCGTAAATCATGAAACCTTATGTTGATATGCTTTGTTCTTCCATGCTGCACCGGATTTTCAGCCATTGCAATGGCTGATGTCATGCCCCGAGGCTACCCCCTAGACGTAAACACGAGACTTAGGATTATGAGTGACCCCAAGCTAACCCTGAGCTAGCATATCATAAGTATACTAGATTAAGAATTTCTATGTGGAAGCTTAAATCATGAATTAAACTAAAATTATGGGGAATACCCAATATTGTCCGAATATATAAACTATGAGTTTGATAACAACTAAAAGATCAAACTCCAAGAAAAACTGAATCTAACTATGTCTGAAATAATCCTCCAACTGACTAGAGATGTTGGGACATGCCCTAAGTTAACTCTAACAAAACTGAAACTAAAAAGAATGAAAATGAAAGAAAACATGGCTATCATCCTCGAAGAATGATGACTCACCACTGATACTGCTGAACTGGAGATCGGGAACCGATCTATGTGTGATCTAAATGCTGAGGACCTGAACCTACATCATGAGAATATGTAGCGCAGAGTATGCATCAGTACTTGAAAGGTACTGAGCATGCATGATAAGATAAACCTGAACAACATATACATAACTGAAATAAAGCATGCTGAGCAATGATATAAGATGAGCATGATGAATATACTGAACATACTAAACATGAACTTAACTGAATGCAATGACCAAGTACATAACATGCTGAAACTGAATACTGAGATATAATTGGTAACTTGGTCAATGCACTAGAATTTGACTGTGGGAGCTACTAATAATCAACATAAAGCCACATGAGCTAAACGTGGAGTCCGATGTTTATGCCCCATCGAGAGGATCCAATATACCTTGCCAAAGGTATAAAGGCATGACTGGAGTGATCACTACATATGATGCCCACAGAGGGGACTTAACCTATGGGGGCACGTAGTTCTGGGACTATGAGGGTGACTGACCCCACTCGATATTAAGTCTACTCCCCACTAGAATGTATAAAATACAACGTAACTGAAATAAATTGGATAGCTCGAGATTCTGACATGCTAACTGAAAATGCAACATTAGGTACTGATAATGAAACATTTGTAAACTAATGCATTTATATTTGTATAAACTGACCTAGCAAGTGTAATTCATGAACTAAATGAATCTACAGAACTAGGGTTTTGAATTTCATGCAAGAATTATGCAGCATAGTTACGAAAACATCATATTCTGATTTGGATTAATCTAACAGCTAATTCACTGCAATCATCTGAAGTTTTAGAAGCCTTAAGTCTAAGCATAATAAAGGGAATCAAGAATCTGACTGAATTCGAGAAACCTAGTAGATGGAAGGAATCCACGAGTGAAATCCCCCATACCTAGTGATGAATTCCACGAAGAAATCTTTCAATTTCGGGGCTGGAACTGAGGGAAACTTGTTGCATTCGTGGAGAGGGTTTGGTCGACTATTTCTTCTCATTTTCCTTGGTTTGATCGATTTTTGGGAGAATGAATTGGTTTGGGTAAGTTCTGATTGAGTTACTAAGCTAAAAACGACGTAGTTTAGGTGTCCAATGCATAGGAAAAAGACCAAAATGAGCCTGACTTAAAAGCTGTCGGGGCCAACCGATAAGACTGACCGACGGATTATGAATGGACCTACGTTCCGTCCTGGTCAACCTCCGTTTGACTTCAGGGGATGGTTTCTGAGGGGTCTGAACAACGGACCTGGACCACAGACCGTGGTCTGACCTATGGTCCATAGGTCCTGGCGTAGGTCCAGACTTAGCTGTTTTTTTTTGGGTTTTCTGGGGCGGGGCTGCAGGTGGCCAAGCACAGACCCCACCTACAGTTCGTAGCCTGCAACTTCTGGAATTCTGAATTTTTGTTTTCTAGAACATGGGTTGTTAGAGCTGATTTATTGTCCACATAGATCACTGTTGGTTCTTTTGGCAACATATTCAATTCCAATAAGATCTTTCTTAACCAAATTGCTTGATTTATAGCATACTTGGACCACAAACCTTGGTCTGACCTACAGTTTGTAGGTCCTGGAGTAGGTCCAGACTTAACTGGATTTTTTGGGTTTTCTGGGGTGGGGCTGTAGGTGGCCAACCACGGACCCCACCTACGGTTCGTGGGTCAACCTATGGTCCATTGGTGGCACCTGCAACTTCTGGAATTCTGCATTTTTGGTTTTCTAGAACATGGGGTGTTATAGCTGATTTATTGTGCACATAGTCACTGTTGGTTCTTTTGGCAACATATTCAATTCCAATAAGATCTTTCTTAACCAAATTGCTTGATTTGTAGCAGATGTAGCAGCCACATACTCAGCTTCTGCTGAAGATTGAGCTACAATATCTTGCTTCTCTTTGCTCCAAGAAAAAATGCCTGAATCAAATGAAAAACAGTAACTAGCAAGAGGTGCTTTTGTAATCACTCAAACATCCACCCCAATCAGTATCTGAATTGTAATACCCTGCTATTTGAAAGAGCTAGAATTAGAAAGAACCATTATTGGAAAGAATGAAAATCTGGAATTTGACAAAGTTATGTTAAGTATGAGTTTTGGGTCAATTTCAAACGATCATAACTTTCCGTACATATTGAGTTAGGTGGGCTATAAGATATCAAATATAAGGTCTTGGAATCCTCTTTCCAACACCACCGAGTTTGCTAATTTTTGAGCTCGTATGAGAGAGATATGCCTGTTTGAAGTTGGGTTGTCTGTTTAAGGAAAGTTACCCATATTTAAGAGGGGTATTTCGATCTTTTCCTCACTCAATTAAGTTATTTTGTTTTTATTAATTAATTAGGGGTCTAAACTGAATTTGTTCAGTTTACGCACTCAAAATTCACGCTAGGGTTTTAGAGAAAAGAACTCAAGAGGAGAAAGGAGGAGAAAAAGTCAAGATTTCATCAAGTTCTTGAAGGTTTTGTTGTGGATTATTCCAAGGGTTGATCCCTAAGAGGTATGTGTGTTCACATAGCGTTGGTTTCGTTCACCCATATGCCAAATATTTTTATTTCAGCTTGAATTCGTCCTAAATAGTTGAAAGTTTGATGTTCTTGATGTCTGTTCTTGAATTTGCTTTCGTTCTCTTGAGTAAGGGTGAGATTGATGAGTTTCTTAAGATAATTGTGTCGATTATTAGAGTTCTTTTTTGAATAGATTTTTGTGTACATGTTTTGGGTATTTGAATATAAAGAGAAATTGAGAAAAAGAATTGAATTTAATCGAA